CTAAATTATCAGAAATAGATAGCACATTAGAAGGGCAAAGGGGTAGAATTGATGCAATGGAAGACAGAATTAATGAGATTGAAGACAAATACCTGAATGCTTCTTTGGAAAGGGATCAATCAGAAAAAAAATCAAAACAAAATGAAGAAAGCCTAAGGTTCACATGGGATACCATCAAAAGGAATAATCTACGTGTCATTGGAATTCCAGAACAGGAAGAAAAAAGTAAAACCACTGAGAAAATTGTCCAAGATTTGCTGGAGTAGAACTTCCCTGATATGAAAGAGGAGAATATATCCATTCAGGAAATCCAGCAACCCCAAACAGATCCCAAAAGAAAATCACCGAGACATATCATCATCAAACTCATCAAAAACAAAGAATCCTGAAAGCAGCATGGGAAAAACAAAAAGTTATCTACAAAGGACAGCCAATAAGAATAAGCTCTGATTTCTCAGCAGAACCCATGCAATCGAGAAGGCAATGGGATGGTATATAAAAAGCCTGAAAGAGAAAAATTCTCAACCAAGAATTATATACACAGCAAAATTGTCCCTCAAATATGGTGAAATTAGGAGATTTCCAGATAAGCAGAAGCTAAGGGAATTTGTTAACACCAGACCAACCTTACAAGAGATGCTACTAAAGGGAGCAAATAACAACTGACCATTAATACACAAGAAGGCATAACCCAGAAACCACAGCTATGGACATAACCAAAGTAAAATGAGTTTACAAGATTGTAAACATGGAACCAGAGACATCAATTGGCAGGTAAGAACAGCTACAAAAAAAAGAGGGAAAATACTGTGTAGTTACAGAACTTCTAAACAGTGAGGAAGTTAAGACAGTTACAAGACAGAATGGACTGTTCTAAACTTGGTAGAAAATTATAAATCATAGGGTAACCTCAAAGAAAAATGGTAAACCTTCATATCACAGTAAAAAAAAGGACAAGCACAAATACTCAGCAAATACTAAAACAACAGCAACAAAGGAAATGATAACTGGATTCATAAACATAATGAACTCAGCACAGAAAATAATATTCAACAAAGAAACCAGGGACACCATGAAAAAACACATACCAAAATGACAGCAACCAATTCATACTTGTCAATAATTACACTGAATATTAATGGATTAAATGCACCACTCAAGAGATGGAGAGTTGCAGATTTGATAAGAAAACAAAACCCATCAATATGCTGCCTACAAGAGACACACCTTAGAGCTAAAGACAAAAATAGACTAAAAATCAAAGGTTGAAAAGATATATCAAGCAAATGGCAACTGTAAGAGAGCAGGAATGGCGATATTAATTTCTGATCAAATTAACTTTAAGACAAAATCCACCATATGAGACAAGGAAGGACATTATATAATGATTATAGGATCAACTGAACATGAAGATATAATCATAATAAATATCTATGGACCCAAAGAAAGAGCCCCAAAATACATAAATCAGACTTTAAGAGTTGAAAAGCCAAATAGATGACTCCACA